ACAGCTGAGCTTCTCTATACACCTCGATGTGCCTGTTTAGAGTTTATTGGCTTCTCATGTCTTTTCATAGGAGCGGTTCGCGTTATAAACAAAACCTGGGGTGTGCGTGACGTGCGGTTGCGCAAAGCTTTTAATGGGAGAGGAGAGTTGCGCAAGCAAGACCAAACTTACAGCATACATGTCGAAACGTGCAGGCTATGTTTCTGACAATGTGCTTGAACATCCTTAGAATATCAGAACAACCAAAGAACCTCTGGGATTTGGGTCTTTTGGGGTGTCGGAAATCTGGGTAAGCTCCGCGCAAGTCCCACATAATTTAAGCATGTTTTGCTTTTGAAGACCCCATGTGGTCCTTCCCCCCTCCAAAAAGAAAGCCGGTTTTATGACTAACCACCAACGCAAAACGAACTCGTCTTGCACGGAAGCCCCGGGCCGTGGAGTCGATGTGATCGGTTGGGCTCAGTGGTTTGCCCAATTCTTTCTGCCAGGGATGGACACATCTGGAAAGGCACCACGTGTGCTCGACGTGTGCTCGACGTCCGGTCGCGTTGGAAAGCAGATTGAAGAAACATGCGGAAGCTGTAGGCTGCCAAGGTCCGACTGACGCGAGTGTGGTGCTGTTGCCACTTTTTGCGACAGTCTGCGCGGGTAGGCTGCCATGGTGTTCGCGTCAGCAGTGGCGTAAGAAACGTTTTATGGCATAGGTAAATACCGTATAGGTTAAACACGGCTAAGCCAACAAACACAGCTCAGCTGGTGTATGCTGGTATCCAACGCTTGTTGGTTCTGCATCGGAAATCTCAACCCCTTCCGGGCCTCAGGGCTACGATTTCCGGTGGCTCAGCCGCTTCGTGGAGATCTTGGGGAAGATGGAGGCCGGCGGAGGGCAGCGGCGTCGCTGGCCTCCCGGACGCCCGGACTGGCAGTGACGGCTTGGCTCTTCGTGGATTAGGTGAGCACTTCATTGGAAGGATGTATGCAAGTCACTATGAATATCTCCTACAGGACCTTCGAGGTAGGTCGTGGGCTTGGTGATCATATATGTTTCAGAAGTAACTATACAATTTGTTTTAAATTCTAAACACACATATAGACATGACATGCACACACACACTGACACATATATATATATATAGATATAGCCCATAGACTCCATGTATGGAATATATGCATACATTGACCTCCCAAACCACCCCAATGTACAAGTAGGCACATATGGAATAATTACATGCAGCGTTTGGTAGAAGTATTCTATTTCAACAATGGCCGTCAAAGCACCTTGGGCCATGTGCCAAACGTCGATGATGTGTGGTTGCAAGTCGTCCTTTGCTCAGCCAAACCTGGACGCGCCCGGACGGATCAACACCAGATACGGGCGCTGCGCAGCAGAAACTGAAGGTCCCATGTCGTCACATTTTTCCCTGAGGTCACATGAGGGTTTGGACATATGGACAAAACCCTGGGTGGTGTTGCAGAGGTTCTGCAACTTATCTTTCTTGACCCTCGGTAGAGTCCCACAGACACAGAGATTTTGTCCACACTGATGCTTTATGAAATGGGGATCAAGTCCAAGTCTGCTCCAAAATGGGTTAAGGAGGATTACTGATTACTTCATGAAACCTCCAATGTTGCAACATGTGAGCATATTTTGAACCATGAACCAATAAGGCATTTCACAAAAAAACGACTAGGCTGCAGATGGCTTCTGGTAGTGCATGCAATCAGCTGTCATGTTTGTTCCATCGAACCTGTAAAATTTCGTAAAGAGTACGTACGTCACGGTTCTATGATTGGGTTAGTTCTAACATCCGTACTAACCCAATTCGGTATACCCGTACGTATGAACTGTTTGCCTGATTCCTGTATACCAACGATGGGTTCGTTCCCCCTCAAACAGAGCTGGGCGAAGCGAACCACCCACGTGGGTCTCACGGCGCGGGACACCCGTCTCTCGGTCGGCTCCGGGGCGCTGGGTGATCATATGGGTTTGGTTCGTCCGGTTTTGGGTTTATGGGTGATGTTCCCCTGGGTTTATGGGTTTTCCAGATGGAACCTGGGAGATGTTCCCCTTCCAAAATCCCACGTTGGCGGCACGCCAGGTGGATTTTGCCTATTGGCCTTTGAACGTCGGCCCCAAGCCGGGCTGCGGTGGAGACGAGCCCCTGGGGACGAAAGGGTCCACGACATCGCATGGTTCAGCGGTGTGGTTCGTTGTTTGGGGTGCAACCTGAACGGTGTGACGCAGCTTAAGGATCTCTGATGACTCTGATCTGTTCTTTTTCATGTTTATAGATCTCCTTATTTTTGGGTCCACGTTTCCGCAGACCACCCCGACATGTCCACGACATGTGGGTTGGAAACCTTAGGAAGACTAAGGGTCCCAGGGTCTTGTATGTGGCTGACACATGTCCTTCAATCAACTGAATCCGCATTGCCAGGATGTCCTCCACCTCAAAAAGACCCAACCACCCTGACCTCGTCGCTGGGACGGAGTCCGTCGCTCAGCTGTTCGTCCGTCCGGTTTCGCTCGGTCAGAGGTCCTATGGCATGCTGGCTGCTGATTGGACCTTGAAGGAAGAACCCGACGAACGGCTCGAGCTCCTGCGCCACCACGGCCTTTTGCCGAGCGCAGCACCTTCTCGCCACTGCTGTGAGGTGAACGGCTAGGCGGAAGACACCGATGTCTAAGGAAGACACCGCTGGTCAAGCGGCTCAAGACCATGCGCCGATGCGTGAGAAGACGTGTTCTGTTTTCTGCCGATGTTGCGTAGGTTTTGCCGATGGCTGAGCTGCCACCCCTCTTCTGCGCGGAGCAACAGGGGTTTCTTCCGAAGCTGGACCCGATTCGGGACATCAATTTGTCCTGAGGTGAAAATTTTGGGGCATCCAAACTGAGTTTGGGCCTTGGTGGTTTAAACTGGCCTGCCTGGCTGTTGTAGGAATCGTTCTTTCAATGTTTGCATGACCATACATGAGTCATACACACCTCTGGGAGAGAAAGAACATGGGAGCTAAGGCTTTATAATCAAGACCTTTCAACGGATACCTTGCAAGGCATCAACGGCCGGGGGTAATAATCGTTGAATTCTATATATAATCCGCAGCTCCACTGCGAATTGTGCGCGCGTGACTCGTCTTTCCTTGGGCATCGTCAGACCCGCCATGGAACGGGGGGTTGGCACAGACCCCCCCGCGGCTGGCTGCATTTTTGGTGACATTTCTTAGGCCTGGACGAAGGGCTTGGAGAAGCTAGGCTAGTGTAGCTAGGCTAGCTCGGGTAGTTATATGGGGTTCAACAGGATGATACTCGATTTTGTTGTGTATATTATTGGCAATATTAATCATATTCTTTATGTAATTAGATGGCCAATAATAAGAGACCGGGCACACCAGAAAATATTGTGCTCCCTTCATATTAATGCTGTAGGTTAAAGGCCAGAAGAAAAAAAACAACACAGAAAAATAGGAGCAAGATACTAGAAGAATCAACAGCATTAAATTGGAGGTTACAGCCGTATCGTTTCTGTTATCTTGGTCGTCACCGTTCATGCAAAAATAAACACGGACCAACATGTTGCATTCACCCTCCAGTCCAGCTTATTTAAAAAATATATATATATACCTTGAGTCTCCAATGACCCTTTTAAATTTGCCTTTCCAAGAAAAAGAGGTTTTTGAAAGAAAGCACTCTTTTTTGCATATGTCACGAAATGTTCCTTTTTTGTTTGTGCCCTGTCAGATCCTCCTTAGATAGTGTCCTGAGACCTTTTTTCGGCGTCCAAAACGCGTCTTTTTGCGTCCAAAAGGCGTCTTTATGCGTCCGTGCCGGACGCGTCCGGATGAAGATTCACTCTGCACCTTTTTTTGAGTCCTCATCTCTAAAAACGCGTTTTTCGAGCAAAAACGCAAAAATATTAGACCAAAAACAAAAACGCATAAAAAAAAGGTCTTTGGAGACTCAAGGTATATATATTATATTGATTTTCTTGTTGACTTCAGCCCACCTCGACAGACCTTGTTCGGTGTTCAAAACTGGCATGTTAATGGCGAATTCATCCAGGGAAGGAACGTGTTTTGCAAAGCTGTGGCCCTGAACCTTCAGGCTGGCCAGGGAGTTCAGCTTCTCCTCCAAGCCTGTCTTGGTCGGGTGTTGAGTCGGTGAACAGGGTGAGTCTATGTTGACACATGAGTCCAGCTTTTTGATTCCAACCTTTGAATTTGTCATAGAGGCAATAAGCACTATGCTCCGGAGCATTTACTACAGCCCTTCTATATTTTTGTTTGGGTCACAGCCGGGATCACTCTAAAACTAAAGTCTGCAGGACACCTTCATTCTGAAGCACTCAGAACCCCCTGCCAGTTCGGGGGTTCAGGGCCACTGCTCAGGTGCTCCTGACCGCATGCGCCGAAATCTTGCATTTTCCTCGGCTGTAGCGGTTGGACGCCAAATCCAACAGACTGCCAACTCTTTTGTACTGCCCAGCAAACATGTGTGGTCACAGGACTGCGGCGATTGAACATTGTTTTTAATTTGATTAAATTTGCATGTTTGTTGGAGGTGAATCTGGATCGGAAGTCCGGGCTGTGTTGAATGGTGAACAATGTTGGACATTGACTTCGTCGCTGTGTCGCTGGGCAGAAAGATTCCGAATTGGAAAAGGCTTTTTCTCTGGTTCCTTTTCGAAGCACTAACCTTGCTTCCAGCGTTGCTGCGAGCTGCAAAAGATCTTCTTCAACTCTAGAATTGTCGGTTGGGGAACCCTGCCCTATTCTACAGCCAGAAGCGCTTGGACGCCCTGCAGGAGCACGTTGTCAGTGCGTGCAACGAGTTTTTGGGGCAGTTTCGTGGTCTTTCTGGGAGACCCATCCACCCTGCCACCAGTAGAAGACCTGCAGTCCAAGTAGAAGACCAGTATTGACTTGTGTTTGTGAGGCGCCGCAGCGTTTGCCTCCATTCCCTCCTTCCCCTGCCGTTTTCGTCGACCCATTTGGAGCGCGAGGTGCCACAGAGGATCTGGAGGACCCGATCCTGAGGGTCTTTTGGACGAGGGACAGGTGGGCACGGCCATCCCTGATCTTTGGCCTATTTAGCCCATCCATTACTTGGATGATTTGTTGAATGGGAGAGTGAAAGACGCGAAGAGTGGGGATGGGTCACAAGGTCGGTCGCAAACCTGGCGTTTGGTCTCCTGGTTTAGAGTTTAGACTCACAGCATCTCACAGCCATGTATGCTTCAACCAATTGGTCAACTGCACCGTTCAAATACACGGGTTGCCCTTTAGCTGCTCAGATTCACAGCTCAGGTCTGATGCACAGGTATCGCTCGTGCTGGAGATACCCGAGCTGCAGCTCGCAGCTTCGTGAGTCAGTATGACTTGGGTCCCTCAAATTGCCTTGTTTCCCCGATGCCCCAAGAAAGTGTCTTGAGCCATACACTCGCTGGATGGGTTGAACCAAACCACCCAACTCCATGTCATTTCTGCAGGAGTTTTGGCAGACACACCTCAGTGCGGATGCCATGGTCCGGACGCCCAAGCTCGACAAGCTAAGTCCGGTAAGTCAAGACGGAGCATCACCCTGCGAAGAATTCCTCATTTTCCTTGTTCACTAAGGTTGGGCGAAGAGCCACTGTATTATATAGGGTTGGTTTGATTTCTCACATGAACTGGAACCATCCATGCAACCAGTTTGGTCTCTCCCATAATCTCCCATACCTCCAAAATTGGTGCCTTCTACATCCTACTATTGATTCACTGGCCCTTGGGGGCGACCGCATGCGCCGAACGATTTGCTGTTGACCTATGCTCTGTGTTGACCACGTTTTAGTCAGCTGTTTGGACCCTCGCAGCGTCCCAGACGGGGTCCAACGGAGGCCGTCACGATCCGCAATGCAGTGGGCGACACCTTTCAGCTGTTGCTCACGGCCCTATGGTGGCCTCCCCAGCTGGACTGGAGAGCGGAGAGGATACTGGAGAGAGGCTTCATTGCGCCTGACAACAGATGAAACAGGTTTGGGTTCCAGGAAGAGTCGCTGAAGGCACTGCTGGTGGGGTGAAAGCTTCAGAACCATTTGTGTTGAGAGGACCGAGCCACGAGGAACGTGGCGACGGGTGACCTGTGGAGTTGTCGACGCACAAACGAGGACGAACAAACGGAGACATCGTGACACCCAGCCCGGTGGAAACGGCTGTGTTTTTTGAATGCAGAATGCTGTGACTGTTGACCTGTGGAAGACCGGAGGGAGGGCCAGCTGGATTGAGCACACGCCTGCTGGACTGGGTGGCTGAAGGTTGGTTCAGGAGGCGCACCAACCAGGGAAGAGGTAGGATTTGGACCAAGATTGGTTCAGGAGGCACACCAACCAGAGAAGAGGTAGGTAGGATGTAGACCAAGATTGGTTCAGGAGGCACACC